CCTACTTTTAGATGTCGGAGCAAAGATCTATTATGAACGAACCCCCGCATCCTTGTGCACTATGAATGTGTCAAGCTGTACAAATGTGCAGTCACTCGTGCGTTGGTTTTGCTGCTTAAGGTGCCTATTGGTAATTTTTATAAAATCCTTATGGTAGCAGGAAATGGTAACGCTAACTGTCATTCATCTTGACCTGAGGTTATAGCCCTGCAAACAGATATGGAATATGACTTCCGGTCACAAAGAGAAAATAACGTTCTTGAAATAATTCATTCTCTCATTTTTATAAATTTATATTGTTTCAGCTACAATGAATCCAATATTTGTTCATGATTTTTCTCAGAGTAAGAATTTTCTCCTTGTGATTCGCTATTCACGATTTCTATGTACTCCATTCTCATCTTGTGAGAGTTTCGTTGTTTGATTGAAGCTCACTCGTTTTCTTTACTCTTTCAGTACATTTTATTCTCTTACTGTTTGATATCCGTATTCACAAACAATACATGTCATTTACTTCTCCCTAGTAACAGTCCAGCCACCCCCCCCCCCCGATTGCCCTCACTTTCCCTTTCATCTGGTCGCGGGCTGGAAGGAAACTGCCCCCTCTTTGGTTGTCAATTAGCTCCATAGGGTTGTTTAGGCCATCATTGCTAAATGGAGATACGTTCTCTCGGGGCAAGGACAAAGCTTTGACCGCAAATATGTATAAATTCATTATATGAATATAGCGTTAGAATCTTCCCCTTTCATAGTGCACAGGAATGCGTGGGGTTTCGTAAATCGCCTAATATATCACTCCGACATCTGAAAGTAGGTTAACAGTAAAGCCGAAATAACTTGTTTATTAAAAAATGGCAAATATAAAAACGCCAGCTAGTAGCACTTAACATCCCTCCCTCTGTTGCTTTCTTTTTCTCTCACTATCTTAGCCCTTACGTGTAATATCTGGTTTGATATTACATTAGCTGGACTGTGGATATCTGACATGCAACTGAAGGAGGTTCAGTTGCAGACACGGTCGCCTTGGAATGCCGTGGGATGGACGTCATTGGAAGATCGTAGACCTGAAGACCAGGTATTGGTCAGTGCAGGCATTAAGTCTCCCTAGGATGAAGTGAAAGGGCAACGCCTTTCAGGACGCCCATAGATCCAGTGAAGAACCAGGAATTCGTCAGAGCAGTTTTCTGTCGCCCCAGGATGCTGTGGAAGAGAACTGCCTGCCTGGATGCCCATAGATCCGGTCAGGCATCATCTGCCCTTGGATGCCAGAAAAGACGCCCCTGCCCCGATGCCCATAGACCCAGACACAGGTTATGACGACGTCTGGACGAGAACGAAACAGAGAAGAACCTGGACGAGATCTGCGAGGAAGTCTGAATAATCCGAAGTCGAGGAGGACCTAGGCATGACGTTTGAGGATGCATGGATGTCGAAGAGGGATGGATTCACTGAGGGCTAAGAAGAAGAGGCTGACAAGGAAGATAATCAAGGACGAGATGACCAGCAGATCAGGTCCGATGATGGGTCATCCTTGAGACAAATCAAATGACGCCTCGAGGGCGTGGCGTGAGTAGGTAGCCAAGCAGTTATAACATACTGCATAGCACATGGCATCATGCAAGCTCCATGCTGTTCCAACCTGGTAGTCATTATGGAGAGGGCAGCACACCTTACTCACTCCCCCCTCCGGCTATGCATCTGGGAGGAACAGCTGCTTTGTATCGAGGCCGCACCCCAAGGAAACCCTGACACACACAGACAGCCTGACCTCTGGACCGCACGGACTTTCCCGTAATCTCCGCGCGGCGCCCTCGCTAGGGCTTGCCACCGCGGTTACCACAAGTACTGATCAGTCTCGTATCGTGTTTATATATACTCGTGTATAAACTCTTATCAATAAAGAGTTACACGTTTCAAGTAAACTCACTAGTATTAAAATAGTTAAACACCGTTTACACTCTGTGTGTGTGTGTGGGGGGGGTGTCCCCTCTCTCTCTCTCTCTAAGAGAGAAGGGGAGAGAGAGAGAAAAAGCTGTGACAAGCTCCCCCTAAATTGAGACTGAGATTGAGACATGGTTGCCATAATGGTTGTTTTTATAGTGTCGTGTTAACGACGGTCACGGCTATATCTTTACTCCATGTTGGACTAAATGACCATTAGGCTTATCTCCTTTGCAAGAATGATCAAGATCATGCTTTTGAAATTGAATCGTTAATTAAGTCGCTTGAACTACTTAGATTTACAAGTATATGTATGAAGAGTGACCCAGTTGCATCTGCTAAAGCAGGAGCTTGGCATAGAAAATCATTTTCAGTTCCATTGAGGGAATTATAAACACATTTTCTTTTTCATCCTTTTCATTAATAGGTCAGTTTTCCAAACACTTATCCACCTCTACTATATATATAGTTTGGCTAGAGTTCACCCATTTTTTGGGTTGTATTTAATTTAGTTCTGTTATTTATGGTACCAAGACATCTGTGCATACAGTATATGTATACAATTTTAAATCTGCATTGTATAAACCTCTTGCTTTTAATTTCTGCTTCCCCTTTTCAGAGCTAAAGGGGTGGAATCTCTTCAAGGCAGAAATAGTTATGACGACTCCGAAATGCAAAAAGGCTTCTAGCAAACTCCAAAGATGGGCGAAGCAAGCCGAGAATTACAGCCTTGTGGAGTTCATCGATTTCCTGCTTCATGGAGCTGCTCGGTTCTTGAAGACATGGAGAATGGTGAAGACTCGGAGCCCAAGTCCGTCCGTACCAGCCCTAGAGGCCAAGGCGATGACTTTCTTGTTTGCGATGCTGCAGCGTGTTCTCAGTCCGTCATCAGGTGCCATCACTCATCAGCTGGTGGAGGAAGTGCAGTGGGAGTTGCGCAGGCTGGAGAACTACTTGTGCTACACTGTAATGGAGGATAAGGGAACAGGATCAGGGGCAAATGAAGCAGGAAGAGGAACAGGAACAAGGAGAGTAAAAGCAGGAACAACAACAACAACAAGAATAAAGGGAGCAGGAGCAGATACAGGAAAAAACAAACCGAGGTTAGATACAGAAATACGAACAAAGGAGGAAGGAGATCTGGGAACAAAGGAAGCAGGGACAGGAGTAAAGGAAACAGGAGTAGACACGGGAACAAAGGAAGCAGGAGCAGACACGGGAACAAAGGAAGCAGGAGCAAGAGCAAAGGGAGTGAGGGAAGTAAAAGGAACATCCGCTCTCTCTGAACTTTCCCGGCTCATCGACCCAAGAGTGAAATTCAGCGAGGAAACTCAGCTCCGAGTCCGCGAATTCATGAAAAACGAAGGGAAAGCCGAGGTTCACGAGGCTTTTTCCACGTGGGAAAGGTTCCAGCCCCGAATGAAACAGGGCTTGTCTCGGGGGAGTTGGTTGTCTTTATCATGCTTGCTTTTTTGTTGTTGGAAATGCTTACTTAGATCATATTTTACAGGTAAAGACTTCACTATACGAAAGTCAAAGGCAAACACACTTTAAAGTTAGCTTCGTAAGGAAAATCTTACACTGGTATATAATAATTTGTCGAAAAAGTTCCCTCCCTTTGTTGTTGTTTTTGTGCACGCTTATAGTAAAAACAATACATTTTCTTTATTAGAAAGCTAAAATTAATTCATTTTAAGAGGTATATATCATTTATAACGTATATATAGGAAGATTTTGATAAAATAATTGTTATAAGATGTATAGAAAATTATCTTCATGCATACTAAGTATTATAACCATTGCATAAATAAATATTTGATTTCGAGGTCTTTATTTTTCATATTTTTAGGCATTATCTCTTTATCCCAATTTTATATCTATTATTATTGCAGCTTATGGTAATTAAACAATGATAAAGGTATCAACGAAGATTAATAATATATATACTGCACAGACTCTCTCTCTCTCTCTCTCTCTCTCTCTCTCTCTCTCTCTCTCTCTCTCTCTCTCTCTCTCTCTCTCTCTCTCTCTCTCTCTCTCTCTCTCTCTCTCTCTCTGCCGAACCTTCTACAATGACAGGTTGGCAGAAGTGATACTACTTACACGTCTTCACTCTTAACTGATAAGAGTTGCACACGATATGAGCGAAACCGGCCAGCGCCTGAGTGGTCCCCTGCAGCCGGCTGACCCTGGCGAGCGCAACTGCACGGTGGCGAGCGCCGGTCCTCGCGGGACGAGGGCAGGCTGTCTGTGTCTCTCTCGGGTCAGCCGTGATGGAGAGCGACCCGGCACGGGAAATGAGGTCAAGGCAGCTGCGGCCCCCGGATGCGTGGGTCGAGGATGGGGGCGTGGCGTGGGGTGTATTCTTAGCATTTTGCTGCGATTTGTAGGCTCTGGAATGGATTGCCTTCATAGATTGTAACTTCTCCGACTCTTGATAAGTTTAAAATATCAGCTGACGTGTTTTTTTTCTTACGTAAATATCTCACTTTCTATTCTTTCTTAGCTGTATTTTGACCTGCACTAATACCTTTGGCGGTGTATATCTCGGTTATTCAGTGTTGCTCTTTATATAACACTATAATAATTAATAATAATATTAATCTCACACATTGTGTTTGTTTTGCTTGTACATTAGTTTCGACCAGTGTGGCTGATATTTTATTTCATTTTTAATCTACATTAATGAAAAGAAATACCACAAGCAAGTTTACCAAGTTTATTTAACTTATAATTCCATCTGTACGAAAATAAATACCACATGCTTGGGTTTACTCCATTGCTACCGTCTGTACTACTCGAAGATGATGGATGCATGGGAGCCAAAGAAAGATGGAAAGGTTACAACATCAACCATCGTAAGGTGTCGGCTGCAGTGGACGAGGAGGGAGGGAGTAGGGGACGAAAAAGGAGACAGTAGAGGACGAAAAGAGGGGCGGCAGAGGACGAAAAAATAGGTAATTTGGGACGAGAAAGGGTAGCAGAGGACGAAATAGGAGGTGGCAAAGGACGAAAAATGAGGTAGCTGAGGAAGAAAAGAGGGTGGCAGAAGACAAAGGGAAGCAGCATAAGACGATAACAAAGAAGACGAAAAGTGAGGTGGCAGAAGACGGAAAGGAAGGCAGAAAATGACAAAGAATGAGGTGGCAGAGAATGAAAAGGGTAACAGAGGACGGAATGGGAGGTGGCACAGGAAGAAAAAGGTAACAGAGGGTGAGAAATGAGGTAGAAGTGGACGAAAAGGGAGGTGGCAGAGGGGTTAAATCCAAATCGGCTGCATAATATAGATATATTCCATTTATATGTATATATGTACGCACAAGCACACGTGTATGTGTATATATACACACCTACATGTATTTTATCCTCTTCAGTCGGGCGAGGGGAGGGTGCGAGCTCCCGGTCAGATGCTGTCACAAACTCCACGGTCCATCGAATCGAGGTATAACTGCCATATGCGTCCGCCGGGTATATTTTGCGTACGTCAGTGGGTAGTTCATGTCCAAAATCGTTGATTCTCCTCCGTCGTCCAGTTTTACACGAGCGCTTTATCTGTTTTATAATCATTCAAGTTATTGCAAACACAAGTCATGTTTAAAGGTCTACACTTCCTTTTGTAACATCATATTATTGTTAGACATTGTAATATACGAAGAAGAGTTAATGGCCTTTGCCAGAGCGCCAAGCGTACAGTCCGTCGGCTCGGCGTAAACCACGAACACCTTACGCCAGCAAATGGTAAGAAGATAAAATTCAGGCCTTACGTCCGCCAGCACAAGGAAAAATCCAAGGCCTGCCAGCCGCACAAATATAGCACCCCCCCCCCCCATTTCGGCTACTCGTACAGCACCTTGTTGCTTTGGCGCTGCACTCGGCATTCGCATCTTTCATAAATCGACGATTTTCTACATGCCATGACCTTAATATCCGCCACAGTTTGGTGGTGGTAGAATCGTCCAAAACAGAGGAGGGATCTTGATGACGTCCTGCTGGCGTTTTCCTTATGCCTCGTTCGCAGAGCCTGTAATTGCTCTTCTTGCCACGTGCTGGCGTATATTACAAGGTCTAACAATGATATTATCTTACAAAATGAAGTGTAGAGCTATAATCATGCCTTCTGTTTGGAATAACTTGAATCACTAAATTAATTTAGTTTAGTCCTTTATTTACCACCCTGGCTAACTGCACAGGCGTGGGCAAGCTGTGGAACATTTGATCCATGGTCAAAGCATTATATAATAGTATTAGTGTAAATCTAGATCATAAAATTATTACGATCTAAAATATATCATTTAAAAGAAAAGAACAATCAGTAATTTATCTACTCATCTATCAAGCCGGCATACGGCTGGGGCGTGGAAAGGCAATGTAACATTTGATATGTGGTCATATGATACTACTTTCCAAATTTAGGATACAACATAAGTATATCTTCCAAGACATCAGATGATATGAAGTAGTTACATAGTTCTCCATACCTCATGCTAGGTGGTCTGAAAGGCTGTATTACATGACACTCTGAGATATAATGTACAAGTGTTCCCTTATATTCTTCATTGCATAATTTACACTTAGTTTCTTTAACATTACAGGCTGTACTGACTTGCTAATACAATCTATAACCCAGCCTGATTCTTGCGGTCACAGTATCACACTTTGTTCTTATTTTGTATAAACCATAGATGAATACATCTTGCATAAACCGGTCATAGTGCTTTATGCTATAGCTTTCAGGCCGTTGAGAATTAATCAAGTCAGGCGAGTCCTCTTTGAAGAAAGCTTTAATTATGTGTGAAATCCTAGAAAGAGGTACTTCAAGATCTATATCCACACTTTGCTTGTCACATGCTGATTTTGCTAGGCGGTCAGCATGATCATGCCTGGGGATTCCAACATGCGATGGTATCCACACAAAACGTATATCATGGCTTCGTTCTTTTGCACGATACACATTTATCCTTATGTCATATGCAATATTTCCTGCACCTTTGTCTAATGTGTTCAAAGCCTGGAGAGCACTCTGTGAGTCGCAGAAAATTACCCCTGAGCCGTGATTTAATAGAAATTGGGTGGCTATGAGCAGTCCTGCCAACTCAGTTTGCGTAGTGCTAGCCCAGTCATGAACTTATTGATTGAAAGAAGGTGAAGAGAACCCGAAGAGTTTGCACACTCTGTATTGACGGAAAGTAACAAGCAATTAAGTTGTATATGTATATATTCAGTTACACAATCAAACAGGACAGACAAAAAATATCAAACAATAAGTTAAAGTAATACTCGTTATATTTCCGGTCACGTGGAATGTGCGTACGTGCTGCAAACATCATGATGCAACGGCCTTATATAACATGTAAACCAAAACACATTACATATTCAAACTAACACAATTGATACTTAATCAACAATAACATCATTCTTAACCAACACTACCATATATCTAACGCAACATATTCTTTATTCACATGAACATATTCTAATCAAAGCTATTTCAACAGACGCTTTTCATCAAAGCATATCTTAACATTGATATACTTTAACATAATAAAAATAGCAATAGCGATAATGATAATAGCAATAGTAATGATAATGATAATAGTGCTAATAATTATGATGGTAATAATGACAATAGTTATAATGATAATAATAATAATGATAATGATGATAAGGATAATAATAACAATAATGAAAAAATCATTAATGAAAATGATAATAATAACATTAATGATAATAATAACAATAATAAAAGGAATGGTATAAGTGATAATGAGAATAATAATAATCATACTAATAATAGTGATAATATACAACTTCGAACGATTTCTACATAAAACATATTCTCATGAAAAATTCTTGACAAAAACAGACCTGGATAAACTAACCATTTGACAGGCAACAATTGAGCAAAACCTGCAACAGGTGCATGCAACGGTGGCAAGACTACGATAAGGAATTCTCTCTAGTTTATCAAAATATTATTTCTAGTTAATTGGTAAGATGGTGTCTTAATAAAATTCATTATTATTTTAGGATTTTAATACCCTATTTTCACATAAAATGCTTAGTACTGCATACGACAACTTGGCTTTCACTCCACTCGGCCCAAACGAAAGGCAGTTAGCGAAATATTTTTTCTCGCAAAACGAAAGCGATAAAAACACTGTTTTATTGCTTTTCGTATCCTTGTTTAGTACAGTACACATTCTGTAGTGTTAATAATACACATAGACAGGGATGAACCAAGAGTGTACGCTGAACCGGCAAACCTTTAGCAACTTAGAGTGTCTTTGAATTTTTAACAAGAGTGTAATCGAGGTAAAAGTAATAATTATTCTAAAGAACTACCAGTAGATGCAATATCATGAAATAAACAGCCACTTCGAGGTACTCAAAACCTTTCTTTGGAATTTCTTGTCATCACTTAAAAGTTATGTTTGTCTTGTAACTAATCAGCCATAAAATATTTTGTAATGTGTGATTTCGATCGATTTAGACAGATATGTTCGAAAATAGCTAATTCGAACCAACAAATCTGCAGAAAGTTTTAGCGACTACAA